GTTAATACGATTCAAACAAGTTGCACTGGACGGGGGACAGCAAGGGCCACTCCCTTGTTCATTTCCGTCCGAAAGCACATAAAAAGCCCCCAAATGCTTTGTCAGCCCTCAGAAAGATCTTGAAAGGTTACATGAAAAATTCTAAATATTTTGGCCTTCCAAAATAAGTCCCCCCCCCCAAAAAAAAAAACAATTTGGGTTCTGGATCTGACCTTGTGTAGGATGTGATTCAGTGATAACTTGTCAGCACACCACAAGTTTTAAGGAAGCATACTCATTTCAAACTCATCTCAATGTCACCGTATGACTGTTTTGTTTTGCAGTACTGAATCTGTCACTTGCCCAGTCTACGTCCCTGAGAATGCCAAAGACGGAAGGAAGAAACTATCAACATCCAACGATCTGGCATCACCCACCACTGATACCCACACAGATACCATAACAAATCATGCAAAACAGTCCCAACCCGACACTGTTCTAAGAACCATCTCAAACCTGAGCGATGGCTTTGTGCATGTCGTTAGTGATGTAGTGAAGACTAAACTGGCTGGTGATACAAAGCAGGAACTGAATCAGTGTACCTCCATCCCAGAGGGGGACGGTAATGTTGAAATGATAAACATTTCAAATGAAGGAGCACAAAAGGAGGATTTGGAATTCCAGAAACAGGGAGATGAAATGATTACAAACAGTAATGATCTCAGTGGAAGCACAAATGAAGGGGACACTCTTGTCCCCCAGAATAACAGTAACGAAGAGATGGTTGTCCATGAAGACTTGAAACTAAACCAGGATACCCAAGAACTTCCTGAGAGGCATTTAACCAATGGAGATGATTCAACATGTAGAGGGAGCTCCTCTGTGGAGGCAAGCGATGACACTGAATCTCAAGATCAGGTCATTCCTTCAGACTCTAAAGGATCCCTCCCTGACCTGGTGGAATCAGCCGAACAATCTGTCAAAGACAAGGAGTCTCCTACAAGTGAGACTGGCTCTTTGTCAGGTCTGCCACCAGCAGAGTTGACCAACTGCCCACATTGTCATGGCAACATGACCACTACTAGCAAAGTTTGCAACTCTTCCTCTGAAGATTCAGCACAACTCCAAGACACTCAAACAACAGGGGACACAGACATGCCCGGTTTTGTCGACTTCTCCTCTGGTATCTTCATACGTGAGTGCAAGCGATGCACAGCGGTGCCAGACATAACTGAATCAGTACAGGATACCAGCACAACGGAGCAAGAGCTACAGGCCATCCAGGCTGAGGGACGGGAAATTAGGAGGCAGAGTGACTTGCTCTGTGAGCTTCCCAATGAGGGGAGCAATAACGTGCATCCCCAGGAGAATGATCAAGTCAAGAAGTCTGAAGATGTCAATAAGGAGGTGGTGCTAGGCTACAACAAGACTAACTTTGAAGGTAAGATCAAGCATGAAAACTATAGACTTCCTGTAGTCTGAAGTCAGATATTGTGTATTTGGGGATTTTGTTTTGTTTTGTGGTTGATGATTTTTTTCTTTAATCTTTGTTTTTTGCATCTGCATAACTTAATAAATCCTAGATATTTAATGCTGTGAAGGAAGACTTCATGAGTATATACAGTAATCAAAAAGCATTAAACTGTGCTGAATTTTCTGACAACTTTTAAGCAGGTGACCAGTGGTTCATTGCACCAAAAATGGAGTTAGGATTATTTTATCAGTCGTTAAGGTTATCTAGTGCATGTCTTTAGGTTCCAATACCTGTAGTTTTCTGCTGTCTGGCAGAAGGAAAAAACCAGCTGTAGTCATCTTTATCATTTGAGAAAGTTTGTTGACCATGCTGGTAATAAACTGACGGATTTGGATCAGTTTGATGGATTATCAAGGCTCAGGCAGTAGCTACCAAACAGATGTTAATCCCATTCCTTTTAGAATTTGTAGAAAAATTCTTCCCATTTCTGTGACCCTTAATAGTGCATGTGCATGCACCAGTCATGTGACCACATTCTGTAGCAAATAAGGTTGAACTCTGGATTTTCTTTTCCAATTTTCAGTCCACTGCAAAGACGCAGGTCCATCTGGTAAGTGGGCACTGGTGTACATGTAGTATACATACCTCTACAGTATGTATGTAGAATACTGTAGAGGGATTTCTACATTGTGCTCATGTCTCTTGATATTTGTCTGGGATAACTGTTTGGTATGCACTGTTCCTGGAAAATCCCTAGCTTTCTTGAAGGCAATTATTTGGGGAGAATAATGCATGCTTTGATCATCTTCATCGATAATGAACCAAGTGCACAGCGGATAATCTGTTCACCCGGGAAACAAGTCAAGCCTTGATTGCCACTAATTTGCCTAATCAAGTTCTCCTTTCCATGAAATGATACCCTGCAGCAAGAATCCATGGTGAAACTGTCAGTGGGTTGTTGCCTCCAACGTATAACCCTGTTTGTCAGTAGAATAGCTTGGCTGTGTACAGTGTGCTTTTTTCTACAAAAAGGTAGAATTAAACTAAAACACTTTCAGTCAAACAGTCCTTGGGGTACAACACTGGAATCAGAACTGCTACGGTAAGAATGATGTCCAAGTACTGTGGTACATGTACATATAACAATTATTGCCAGTAGTTTTTTTAGGGGTCCATGGTGTTTTGTACACCGGAGTGGGCAAATGGCACTTGAGGCGGGGCTGAGGGTGCCATTTTGAATTGTGTACAAGATCATTAAATATGCAAACGTGATATTGGCACTCGGGCAGTTGTACAAGATGTCATTTGGGGAAATTATGGTACAGCTATCACCAAGCAGTCTGTTGTATTACTGGTATTGTTGACTTGCACTCCTGAAATGGTGACCTCTTAAATTATCATGTTACGTCTGTATACAGTACATATTCATCAAAATCTGGCATGCAGCACATGATGCATTTCATACTGTCTGTGCATGCTACTATCTCACTATACGTCTTCATTTGTGTTCATGTACAGTACATGTAGGTGTGAATTGAATACAAATTTGTATGCAAAAGGCAATTACGGTAGTGTACATGTATGTACACATACATGTGTCTTGTCAACTGATCAGACCGCCTACA